AACCTGAAGGTTTCACTCAACCTGGAAACGAGCATTTAGTTTGCAGATTAAAGAAATCTTTGTACGGGTTAAAACAGTCTCCGAGACAGTGGTATAAACGGTTTGACTCCTATATGATCAAGATTGGCTACAACCGATGTGAGTATGATTGTTGTGTCTATGTTAAGAGCCTTGATGATGGTTCTTTTATTTTTCTATTACTGTATGTTGATGATATGTTGATTGCTGCGAAGAACATGGATGATGTTATCGGTTTGAAAACTTTATTGAGTCAGGAATTTGATATGAAAGATTTAGGTGCTGCAAAGAAAATTCTTGGAATGCAAATTTGCAGGGACAGAGACTCAAGGAAACTGCGGCTATCTCAACGGTGTTATGTTGAGAAAATGCTAGAAAGGTTTGCGATGAGCAGCGCGAAACCAGTTAGCACTCCATTGGCGAATCACTTTAAGCTCTCATCAGAACAGTGCCCCAAGACAGATAAGGAAGCTGAAGATATGGCAAAGGTTCCGTATTCTAATGATGTTGGCTGCTTGATGTATGCGATGGTATGTACTCGTCCTGATTTAGCTCATGCTGTTAGTCAAGTTTGTAAGTACATGTCTAAACCTGGTAAGCAACATTGGGAAGCAGTCAAGTGGATCTTTCGGTACTTAAAGGGTACTGTGGGACATGGAATTGTTTTTGGGAGTCAGCGGGATAATCCTTTGGTTGTAGGATATGTGGATTCAGACTATGCAGGTGACTTGGATAATAGAAGATCTACGACAGGGTATGTCTTTACTCTTGGTGGAGGGCCTATTTGTTGGAAGTCTACTGTTCAATCTATTGTGGCTCTATCTACAACTGAAGCTGAGTACATGGTAGCGGCTGAAGCTGCAAAAGAAGCTTTATGGCTTACTGGTTTAGTGAAGGAGTTGGGTGTTCAACAAGGTGGAGTTCAGTTGCTTTGTGATAATCAAAGTGCTATTCACTTGGCTAAGAATCAGGTGTATCGTGCTAGAACTAAACATATTGATGTAAGGTTCCACAAGATCAGAGAGTTGGTTGCATCTGGAGAGGTTTTGTTTCAGAAGGTACATACTGATGAGAATGCCGCTGATATGTTCACTAAGCCAGTTACGACAGACAAGTTCAAGCATTGCTTGGACTTGTTGAATGTTTCGAGTTGTTAAAGAATCAAGGTAACCCAACCCACATTGAATTTTCAAGAGGAAGGATATTCGCCAAGGTGGAGATTTGTTAAGTATGGCTCATAAATATACCAGTAAAGAGGACAGGAGATGGAGCGGAGTGAGCGAAGCGAACATCAACTGTCCTTACAAAGAAAGTCTCGTTGTGGGGTTACGAATTATGTGGGTTGGGGGTGCGGGGGCTGCGGCCCCGCGGTACGGTACAGGGTTAATTTTGTAATTATGTACCAGGGTTTTCTATTATAAATAGAGATGTAACCTAGACCTAAAATATCATTGAATAAAATTCTAGCGCCGCCTAGGCACCGAGGACTTAAGCACATTGCCGAACCTCGTAAAATTCTCGTGTTCTTTCGTTTTCTTTACCCGTTTTCGTCAACATCAATGATTGTCTACTCACTCATCGAGTTATTGATAAAGGATGTACCATTCATTTGGATTGGTAAGTGCCAAGAAAGCTTCGAGACCTTAAATAAGATATTAACAGAAGCCCCAATGCTTGTAAAAACAAAATCTAAAAAGGACTATATAATTTAAAGTGACGCGTCTTATAATGTTCTGAGGTGTATACTAGGCATGAAGGAAAAATAATGACTTATGTGTCGAGAAGATTAAGACACGTGAAAGGAATTATCCTACTCATGATTTGGTATTGGAAGCAGTTATGTTTTCTTCGTAAATATGGTGTTATTACATGTATGGTGAACGATGTTGTAGTTACACTGATCTTAAAAGTCTAAAGTATCTTCTAACTCAAAAGGAGTTAAAATTGAGACAAATAAGGTGGATTGAACTTCTTAAAAACTGTGATGTTGTTATATATTACCATCCAGGGAAAGCTAATGTGGTAGCTGATGTGTTAAGTAAAAAAATGTTTTCCTCCTTAAGAGCTTTGGATGTGTGATTATTAATGAAAGAAGATGGTACATTGATCACATAATTGAAAATAAAGTCTACATTATTGGATCGAATAAATGATCTTCAAAGAAAGGATGAGAAATGCTTGTGAAAGACTGAATAAATGAAAATAGGAAAAACTAAAGACTTTGAAGTTAAGTCTAATGGATGCCTATGTATTTATCATAATTTTGATATTTTATTCGAATATGCGCTTCATATGTTATTTATATATTAATATATGTTTGATATTAACGAATTGATATCAGTTTGAACTTTACAATTTGAACTACAAGTGAGGCATCAAGTGAGTGATTTTAACTTATTTTATATATTTATATGCGATGTGGAAGGCTTGTGATGAGTCGAGCTCGATTTATTAGAATAAAAGAAATTTTAAAACATATTTTGAAAATATTTTTGTTATATATTTTCATTACATGGGATTTGAATATTATTGGGCTTGAATTGTCCGATATACGGCTTTCTGATATTTTTTATTTTATTTGTATACTTGAATATGAGAATGATGAAAAATTTGAATAAAAGTCTGATGTATTTATAATGAGAATCTGAGGTACAAATGGAATTCCTTTAGGTGGAGTGATTATATGTTATATGTGTATATGGCACCTGTGGTACAATTCTACGGGACACTTTCGAGTGCATACATGATTACGTGGCACTTTTGAGTGCAATTATATATGACTATGACACACTTTTTATGTGCATTGGCGCACGCACTCAATGTGTCTCACATGTCGAATATTCTCGGTTAAGATACACTTGCCTATAATTTTAATTAAATGAAAATTACGAGTTGAATGGAATGATAGTATAAGTTTACATGAATAGAGGAAATAAAAATGTATGCTTTTCATGGTTTAAATATAAAGAAAAATACAAGTTATACGAGTTGGTGATTATTTATTGTTTTATTAGATGTTGAATTTATCTTTATATGTTTACATGTGATTTATTTTCACTGGTTTAATTTTATACATTTTTTGTTATTATAATAATTATTTATTTTTTAATTTAAATGTTATATTTTTTATATAATTTGGTATCTAGTTAAACTTCTTAATGCCTCATGATAACTCTCTAAAAGAGTTATCATTAGTAGCCTTTTTACTCAAACGTAGTTTGAACTTGAGTATTTTTAAGAGCATTATATTAGCATATTTGTTTGATTTTACACATTTTGCATATTAAGTATTTAATGGGTTGTCTAGGGCTGAATTTGAATTTTATTGCTTCAAAACCGTTACACTAATGTTGTAACATTACAGGAGATGCTGAGTGGATGATGCAGCGGCCGATGAGTCACCGGACAGACTTTCTACAATGTGACAATTGGCTTGGGTAGATTTCAATGGGTTGTAAACCACCTGAAACGTTGAAGAAATTTATTGGAGGATGAAAAATTCCTCCAAACTATAAATGGGAGTACTTTGCAATCTATGAGGAGATCTTTTGGAAAAATCATTTTACAAAGTACTCATTTCCGCAATATTCTTTTGTACACCATGGAAGCTTAAGCCCTCTTCTAGGGAATGCTTCAACAGAAGGAGAGCCCACTGAGTAGCATCAGCCGTTGGCAGATCACCATATGGAGTTACTTTTTGAGAGAGGGAGTGAATTTAGATGTTTGTTAAGCTTTGTGGATGATATTTTGGATTGATTACTCTATGTTTTGTTTTGCTAACTACTGTTATGTGTTGTCTACTTTATGATTACTATTAGAAATGGAAGTAATTAAACGTACGATATTTTGATTAATTTTCTAGAAATATAGTTAATTGATTTGTTGTGCACTTTTGAAAGCATTGTAATTGCTGAAAAACAATGTGTATGTTGAGATTCATACAACCAATTGTTAAGATTTGTTAATACTTTGAAACCTTTAATTAATGAAGATTGATTAGAGTAGTTCAAATGGTTTTAATCATTTCTAATCGCGTAAAAGTAGTATGCTTTTTGTACTAAGAGTGTGATATCCAAAATAATATTCCATACGATTCGATAGCTGACTTAATTCTACCTGTAATATTATAGCATGGCCTGGTTTCTCATATTATATTTTTTATTTCACTTTAATAGCATCTTTTACATACATGTGGGTTCGACATCCGTAGAATTATTTACTACCACTTTATTACTTGTTTGACATTGTATGCTTGCACTTTGTTGTAGCATTTACATATCGTCAAGTTTTTGGCGTCGTTGTTGGGAGCATCAATTTGATTTAGATTTTCTTTAATTTACCCATTTTCTACTTTGTTTTGTAGGTATTTTTAGTTTTCATTTCAACTAGTTTATTCCCCATAGCAACTATGAATTAAAGTCATTTCTTCCCAAGATTTAAAGGACTTTTAGGAGACGTTATTGTGAAGTTGCAAATAACCAAAAAAGTATGGCTGAACGAGGAAACGTTATTTTACCCTGTTGCATAATGAAGATGAGGCTGAAATGCCCACATGCAATGACACAGAACAATCATTTTATAATATGGATGATCGTGAATGACATATTCGTGACCATGTAGTACCAACGCTAGATGATTTGCATCCAGGCATTGTAAGGCCAGTAATTAATACTGCAAGCTTTGAGTTGAAACCGATCATGTTCCATATGTTAACAATCCATGGGCCAATATGGAGGGTCTAACAGTGAAGATTAGCAAGCTCATTTGAGTGTGTCCATGGAGGTTTGTGATTCGTTTATTCAATATTTTTTTCCTGAGTAAGAACTTAAATTGAAGTTATTTCCATATTCACTGTGTGATAAAGCAAGAATATGGTTCAATTCATTGCCACCTGGTGCTATAGCAACCTGGAGTGAACTCGCACAAAAATATTTGTTAAGATTTAACCCACCGTATATGAATGCCAAACTTCGAAATAGCCAAACTTCGAAATAACCTAACTTCATTCAAGCAAATGGAAGATGAAATCTTGTATAAAGCATGTGAAAGATTGAAGGAATTGTTGTGAATGTGTCCTATGCATGCGTTTCCTCATTAGACTCAAATGGAAATGTTTTACAATGGGTTAAATATACACACTCGTATGATGGTTGATGCTTCAACAAATGGAGCTTTGTTAGATAAAACAAACATTGAAGCTTATGATATTTTGAAGAGGATCTCAACTAATGATTGCCAATACCATAATACAAGGAATTTGTTTGGCCGACATAATGCTACAAAGATAAATTTTGAAGCTTTTAATTCTATCGCATCTCATATTTATGCATTGACAGATGTGGTTAAGAAATTTAAGAAACCAGGGGAAATGTTTGAGGTCAAGGGTACATCTATCATAACTTGTGTTTATTGTGGAGATAATCACAACTTTGATGAATGAACCCAAAATCCAAAGTTTGTCTACTATGTGCAAAATTATCAACGGAATGATAATGCTTTTCGCAACAATTATAATGATAATTTCAGGAATCATCTAAATATTTTTTGGAGAAGTCAAAATGTTGCAAATACACAATAGTAGCATTATTAGTCGTAACATTATAATTAACATCAACCAATTCCACAACCACAAGCACAATATCAAGTTGCTCCACCGCAACAACGAAAAACTTATCAAGGACAATCTTCAACCCAAGCTTCCACTCTATCACCTTTTGAAGATTTGATAAAGAATACATGGCGAGTCAATCAACAACGTTAAGGGCTTTAGAAAACCAAATGGGTCAGATGGAAAATGCTCTAAATAATTGGTTTCAAGGAACGCTGCCTAGGGATACACAAAATCCAAAATAGCAAGGAAAAGAGCATTGCAAGGCTATTACAACAAGGAGTTTAATTCATATTAGGGAGCCAGTTGAAGAACCTAGAAAAAAGTGACGTAGAGGCTTCTAAGTATGGTAAGGGAAAGAGAAAAGAAGTTGAATCATACTAACCTATGAACCATACCCTAACATCAGACGCGGGACAGTGTAGTAAACCAAATTCAGTGCCTACAATAATACATGCAACATATGATGCTCTTCTAACTTCAATGCCCTAACAATAACAATCTAGTTAGTGGAATGATGCCACCCAATCTTAACTATCAAGGTAGAAAGAAATTAATGAGGGATGTAAGGTACAACCATTGGGAGGAGCCATATCTATTCAAACAATGTAACGATCAAATTTTACGGTGATGTATCCCTGAGTGTGAACAACAAAGCATTCTATAACATTACCATAACACTCCTTATGGAGGTCATTTTGGTGGTATGCATACATTAGTGAAGGTGCTTCAGTGTGGGTATTGCTGGTCATCACTATTCAAAGATGCTAATAAATATGTGAAGCATTGTGATAGCTACCAGTGAATGGGTAATATTTCTCGACGAAACGAAATGCCCATGCAACCTATTTTGGAGATTGAACATTTTGATGTTCGAGGATTAGATTTTATTAGTCCCTACCCATCTTCTTGTGGCAAACTCTTTATTTTAGTTATTGTTGACTGTGTCTCCAAATGCATGGAAGTTGTAGCTCTGCCAACCAGTAATGCTAAAGTAGTATTACGATTCTTGCATAAAAATTCCTTCACTCGCTTTAGAACACTTTGAGCATTTATCAGCGATGAAGGATCTCAATTCATTTGTAACCAGCTTGCTAGAACACTGAACTGTTATGGTGTGAAACATATGATTGCTACAACATATCATCCGCAAACCAATGGACAAGATGAGCTTTCTAATAGGGAAATCAAACAAAATCTTGAGAATATTGTGAATCCTTCTATAAAATATTGTTCACAACACCTTTAAGAAACAATATGGGCTTATAAGACTGCTTAGAAGACACCTTTGTGAATGACTCCTCATCATCTTGTTTATGAAAAAACTTGTCATTTGCCGATGGAGTTGGAACATAAGGCTATGTCGGCTATGAAGATACTAACTTTTGAACTCGAAAATAGAGGAGCAAAACAAATGCTTGAGCTTAATGATCTAGAGGAACTCAGAAGCAACACCTATGAGAGTTTACGCATTTGCAAAGATAGAAGTAAAAAGTGGAATGACCAACATATTTTGCCACAGTAATTTATCGTTGGACAATAAGTTCTCCTATTTAATTGTTGATTAAATCTATTTTAAGGGAAGTTGCAATCTTGTTCGTTAGGTATTTTTGAAGTATTTGAAATATTTCCTCATGTGTGGTGTTATTAAAGAACTTGGTGGATGGAAGCACATTTATAGTCAATGGGAAGTGTTTAAAACACTATTGCCATCAACAAACCCCTAGCATTGCTTCAATTACACTAAATGATCCTCATTTTTTAATTACTTTGCATTGTAAACAACTCAATATTTTTTACAATTATTTCTTACGTCTTTTTTTTTTTGCTTTAATTGTATAGGATTTTGTTTACATTCATAATCTTCTCTACACTCTGAAAGGTGGTCTTCACTCCACAGCACTCGCTGATCTGATAATCGATTAATGTTATTCGTTATGCAACAATGAATACCAGCTGAACATAGAGCATTTATGGTGAAATTAATTGTGAGTTGTACACAAATTTTTACGAACCTAACTTTATCACCGTCCACCTTAATCAATCCTTGTCGTCCATTAAAAATCTTATTGCTTCTTTCTATTTTATCGGGTAGGAAAATTAATGTTGCGAATATTATATCTTCTGAAATGTTTGCTTGTACGCATAAGAAACTAGGGTATTTATGTTTTCCATCTTTAATCACTGCACTGTGCTATCAAGAACAATTGGTTTCATTTTCTATCCATATCATAGAAAATCGTAGCTCGATAACCCCTATTGCTATGAGGCGAACATTTTTTAAAGAAGGTCTAGACCCAATGTAGTTAACGAAGATCCCTCTACTCCCATGGCTTAAGTGCAACTCCCGCCTATGGATGACCAAATTTTGGATGAATTCAAGAGTGATATAACATTGCTGAGCCACTCTTCATAATCATTCTCAAATGCATGATGCACAAGTACACTATTGGGAATATGGCAGGGATAGGGATCTAGCAACTAAGAAAATGTTTGATAAGTTGTTTAAGGAAATGGAGGGAAGGTTCCCGATTTTTCTAGCAAATATTATGGAGGATTTGATGTCGCCAGCCATGCATGATGCTGAGCATACTTTAGTGACCACTGACATTATTGAAGCTACACAGTCAGGTGGTGATGAAGAGCTGATAGCTAAGGATACAAAATCGTCTGGAGCTAAGGATGAAATGGAGGGTGATGAGAATGAAAGCGAGACTAAAAAAGAAGTTAAGTTAAAAAGTGCACTAAAGTTCTTCCAGTAACATCCAAAAATATGGATATTGTAGAGGAAGCAAACAATTTGAGCAGCTAACAACCAAAAGAGAACTCGTGAAGAAGATGATGCTCCAGCGGAGCAAGCTGTTGCATAGTTACTTGATCTGAATGAGTACAAAATTGCAAAGAATGCAACAGTTGTTGAGGAATTTGAATTGGATACGGTGAAGGTTATCAGCAAGGTCATTTTTGCTGTTGAGCAAGCAACTGTTGCGAGTCCGCCTATCAACACTCTTATTACACCGGCTGTAGGTGCTAAAAGACATGAAGAAGAAATGACGCCAAAGTTGGATGCTACAGCATCCAACACTCCAGTCTCTACAGTTTTGGCTAACACCACACCAACGTCATCCAATCGAAAAAGGAAAAGCTCGATGATGACCAAAGCAACAGCGAAGCGTATCCGCTCCAATATTCTCAGCCCCATAAAAAGCTCAAGAAAATCCACTTAAGAGAGTTCTACTACCCTTTCTCATATTTTAGTCTGTTGTCTTAGTCTTTGATTTGTGTTTTGCTTGTTGCATGCATTAGGGACAATGAAACCATTAGGTTTGGGGTGTGTAAGCTAAATACTATATTTAGGAACAAAACTTTGCATATAGGAATTACATTTGTAATGTCATAGAATATTTTTTTTGGAAATCAATGAAGCTTTTAAGGGATTTTTAGTGATGCCCGATGATGAAAACTATTTGGTATGAAATGCAATAGGGATGCTGTAGACTTTTATCGAAATTAGGACACTTAGGAATAATTTTCACACTATAGGTGTATCTATTCAATACTTAGATAATTTAGAAAATTTTAAGCTATAAAACTCGTATCTTTATTAGATGCTATAGCAACAAAATAAAAAAAAAACTTTAGGAAATAAGTTGGGTAATGCTGGTAATAGCTCCAACATAGTTTAGGAAATAAGTTGGGTAATTTGGTAATAGCTGCAACATAGTGTGAGAAATAAGTTGAAAATATCTCACAAAGTGTATACTTAGTGTTTGATGATTTTCACGTGTAGTAAAAGGGAGAGAGAGTGGAGTAAGGAGCTTACCTTGGCATCAGTTATCGAGCACTATATAGAGGTATCAGTAATGATATCATATTATTATTTTAATTTTTTAGTTGACATGTGTATGTATAATAAATGTTCGTAATATTTGAATATGGCTATAGTTTAAAATGGGTTTGTACCTCTACTCAGTTCACATGGTTCAGAGCAAAATTTAACTTTTCCCAAAAAAGGTTTTGAGAAAAATGATTAAAGATTAAGTGCGACTGCTAGACTTCACTTATCTTTAAACATTCGATTTACCCTAAAATCTTATGGTTTTGTTATTTCAAATTAATTAAATTCTTTTAATGTTTACGTACTATAATTGGGATAATTAAAATCATATGTATATCAAATATGCATATATTAACTCTAAATATATATTTTAGTAATGTACAACAAACTGTACATCTTTGCTCATTTGTAGGTTCTTGTAATATTAGTAGTAATTATTAGAACAATTCTAATATTACAAACAATGAGTGGCATCTATCAATATATCATTGCCACCTAAGTTACAAGAAATTATGATTCGATATATTATCTTCATGATTAACTCTTTTATGTATTACATCCTTTTGTCATTTATATCTAGAATAGGTACAAGTCTTGGAATAGTCACACTTATATCACCCATCTATTGTTTCATGATATTTA